CAACCAACCTGGATGCGGTTCAACGGCTATCATCCTAACGACCCCCCATTCAAAACTGTTTAGATAATTCTTGCTACTAAAAAAAAAAAAAAAAAAATCCTTAACCCCTTGTGTTGTTCATTTTGCTTAGGGGTAGGGGTCTTTTTTTTTTTTTTTTTTTTGCGAGGGTGGGTTGTGTAAATGGAGGCATTTTTGGTATCTGTCATTAAAACTGTACAGGAGGGGCTAGTCTGTGAGGTCACTGGGGGGCAGGGCTTCTTTTCGGGGTTAGCGAAGGGAGGAGTCATTTTTAAGGCCTCAGGGTGTCCCAGGGTTTTCATATGTGATAATGGAACTGCAGTCCATGTAAATAAAGTCATACATTTTGATTTTAAAGGATGTAATCGTCAGGAGGATTGAAAGGAGAGTGAGGTACAGGGGTCCAGGCTGGGGGCGGGGGGGGGGGGGGGGGAGGAGGCTGCTGTGTGACACATTTGATTGGCGGGAGGGTCACATGGGCGCTGATTTACCAGTATGTGTTACTCAAGCATGCATGTGTTTGGCACAAGCAACCCGGTTCTGGAAGGGCGGCCCGGTGCCAGTATGCATGACAGCGGGCATGAGGGCCACGTGGACAAACACACGGTGGAGTGTTTCTGACCATTCCTAAGATTATCCTCTGCTCTCTTTAACTCAGAGGGAACCCTGAAGAATATGGCTACACCTGGTCTATAAGATTATGACGAATTTGTTCCACACAAGAAAACACAGCCAGCTCTGGGTGGCAGATGACAACACAGGCAATACAGAGCGTGAAGGTCTTAGTGGCGCAGAAATGTATGCAGCACAGAGCAGGGAGCGCTTGTGAAATGGGGGGGGATCCGGTCCCATGGGAGGGTCTGCGTGATGGACACCCTCACACACCGGTCACGTGTCTTTAAGGAATGTGATGGTGATTTTAAACAAGCGAAACTGTAACACAGTACAGCGAAACGGATGCTGGCCCAGGTCAGCGCATGCTGTTGGCACAGCCACGGACATTGTGGGCCCCGAGCTTGGCCGGTATCCGGGGCACAGCCGCCCCCGAGCCCACCCCCACCCCCACCCCCACCCCCACCCCCACCTTCGCCCGTTAGTTTGCGCTTTAATCAGGCGTGGCCTCCCTGTCCGTCCCAGGTTGGGGTATTTCTGGGATGTAAAGCTTCTCTCTCATTCTATTTTCTCTCCATACTAATGCAAATGGAAGCTGTAAAAGGGACAGAAAACCAGCTGGGATCCAGGCACATAGTAGCTGGCTTTTGGGAATACATTGCATCATCATCATCAATCATCATCATCATCATCATTATTATTATTTATAGATTTTCTCCATACGACTGCTGATGATTTGACAATAGTGATTGCATAAGTGTACACTCCTCCTATACATAAAGTACTGTGGCAAAGAAATTTAAATGATCCTTTTACAAAACTGATTTTTTTTTTGGTTGTGTGTCAGCTTAGCCATTTTGAAGTTTCCCCTTCAGTATTTACAATAAGCATCCACTATGCCCATGAATTTGTTGACTTGACCGTTAGCACACCGTGTTCAGTTAATCAATACTTCATGAAGTTAATTAACTAATGCAGTTAATGGATTAAGTGAGCTGGTGGAGAAATTTAGCAAATCTATGGAATGGCAGGGGGGGCCCTGAGGAGAGGTTTGGGACCAAGGCTGCATTCTTCTTACCAGCTAACAGGATATCAGGGACATTGTGGAGGTGTTATTGCATTACTGTTTATTTGTTGTATAATGTTAAGTAATTTTTTTATTGTCTCACTCACTGGTCAGATTTTGTTCATCTCCACTCATATCTGCTCCCTCTCATAAATATATGCAGCCGTCAGGTTTCCTGTTACATGTGACGAACATGTCAAACTCGGGTCTAACACCAATCCCCCCCCCTCCCCCCTCAGCGTGCTGGTTTGAGGCAGTTGAGGGTTTTGTAATTGGCTCACTAGTGAAATCAGGTGTGTGGACGATGTTCCATCAGCCCTGCACCTCCATTATCAACCTGATGTGATTCCAGCTAACCCTCCCCCCCCCCAGTAGATATGCACCAATGTCTGCGCTTTTAGCCGCCCTCCGCCACATCCCTTCACAGTCGGCTGGGTCACATCACCCAATAAGCCATTCCGATGCGATCGTCTAGATTCCGGGCAGGCAGGCGAGACACGGAGACGCTGCGCTGGGAAGGATGGAGCTAAAAACGGAGACGTCGGAATGGGGGTCACCAATGTAGGACAGGGACACGCGCAAACTCACACACACTCGCGGGCAAACACACACAGACACGCACACGCCGTGGTCACAAGCTATATAAAGGAGGCTTAAAATTCTGAGGATGAGCGATATCGGGTGACAGGAGCAGGAAGGGAAGGGTGTCCTGAAAGGAGGGAGGTGTGAGGAGCAGGGAGATGGTGAAGGAATATAGCGATGGAGGGATGAGGTGGAAGGGTGGAGGTGCGCGTTCCTGTGGGATTCGGCGCAGCATGACTGACACTGCCCCCCCTCCCCCACCCTGTATCCCTCACAGACACCCTGTCCTGGTCGTGGCTCCCCCGCTTTTGTAATCTGCGAGATCTGCGCAGACGTGCGCAGCTGCGGCAGCTTGAGGACTCCAGTGAGAACATGGTGCACATCAAGCAGAAGCTCTACCACAACGGCCACCCGAGCCCCCGTCATCTCTGAGACTCTGGGCTCTGCGGCTGCCGCCCCGGCGGCCCCTCCCCCAACCCCTCCGCCCGCCTCGGCTTGTCCTGTCTGGGCTGTTGCCATAGAGACCCTCTGCAACAACCAACCTGGATGCGGTTCAACGGCTATCATCCTAACGACCCCCCATTCAAAACTGTTTAGATAATTCTTGCTACTAAAAAAAAAAAAAAAAA